AGTTAGTAATAATATAATAATAGTAATAATAATAGTAGTAATGATAATAGTGATAATAATAGTAATAATAATAATAATAATGATAATGATAATAATAATAATAATAATAAAAGAAAGAGTGGATTCAATATATTATTAACTTATTAAATATAAAAAGACCTAAAGAAAATATTAACAGTCTTCAGAGATGTACAGAAACAGCTATAGTATTATATAATAATATCATCTTTATTTAATACATACACTGTTAATATTTTTTGTATATAGTTATTATCTAATCTATATCAGAGATATATGTAGAAAACACATCTTTATTACTAAAGAGAATAATTGTAGCAATTCTCTGTTTTTATATTATAAAGATAAGTTATTCTTATTTCTTTCTTCTTTCTTTTCTCTTCTTCAACTCATCACTAATTTCAAGCTGATATGAAAACTATTAAAACACTCTCAGAAATTCTCAAATTAAAGAGTATAGACTAATTAAATTTTAAATACAGAAGAAATTAAATTATCTTCTATAATATCAATTATCTGTTCTCTTTTCAATAAAACAGCAGTTATATTCTCTTTTCTTTTTCAAATAAAACATGATCTGTGAAGAGTAAGTATTACATTAGATTATAATAATCAACACAGTCTCAGTATATAGAGCTGTATATATATAGTATGTACTGAAGTAAGAGACTGCATGAATTATAAATTAGTAACAGCATCTTAAGAAGAGCTGTACAGTTATTATTATTATTATTATTCTTTCATTATACTCATATGCAAGCAGAGCTTATGATGAGTTCTTGCATGATGTTAAATACAGATCAAGTGTTGATTATACAGGAGGAAATACAGGTGTTGAGATCACATCAAGATAACAAGAACATAGGAAATACAAAGAAGTGACAATTAAATACATGTGATAATAACTTCTCATTCCAGGAACATAGAGTGATTTGTTGAAGCGATTTGTACACCTCTGTATTTATTAGAAACCTGAGGTGCTTGGGTTCCAGATTTAATGTATCTCCTGCGGGTTTCGAACTCACACACCTTGGTTTCCCACGCCAAGGCGCTACCGGGTGGCCGCATTAACCATTCAGCCACCGGGGCAGAGCTGTACAGTGTGAAAAAGCTATAACTCTTAGCTATATATATAGAGAGTAAATTACTGCAGTAAGTATATATATATTATCTAGAAGTAATACTTTTTAATAATACTCAGTCTCTGATATTATGAAAATAGAGTCTCTTTATAAAATTCATTTTCATTAGAAGTTAGAAAATTTTATATTTCTTAAGACTATCTTTATACATCTTATCTATGAAATTAATAAAGAGAATTATTAATTTCAGTATTCTACTCTTAATATTATTTAAATAACAGCAGAGTTCACTCTGATCATACTTTTTAAGTGTATGTTTTCTAATTATTTACATTTATACAGATATATACAGATTATTTATTAATAATATTAGATATATCTTATCACAGCTGTATTATTCTTACTATAAGAGATATATAATTAATAATAAATATTATAAAGTCTCTGAGAAGTAAGTATTTTAAGAGTACTATAACTCTGTAATCTTAAGTGTGTTTTTTTTTTTTCTTTTTATTTTTTTTCATTGTGATTTTTTCTTGTTTTTATTTCAATTTTTATTTTTTTAATTTTTTTATATTTTATATTTTTTTTAAATTAAAATTATAAAAATTATAATCTGTATTCAGAAAAGTAATAATATTTAATAATACTCTCTATTGAATTTTCAATAAATAAGTACTATGTTATAATATTATATAAGTGAGAAATGATTTTATAATCTTATTTAATATCATTCTCAATAATAAGATCAGAATGAAAATGTAACTAAGAATTTAAATATATTCTTTATCTGAAACTAGATTTTTATTTGAAAAGTGAATCTGAGACCTTTAATATTGAAAATAATGTGATTTGAAATTAATGTAATGAATATAAATTATAATCAGAAGTAATACTTTTAAATAATATAATAACTATAAAGTTTAATTCTGATTTCAGATATAGTTACACAGTCAGTCTAAATAGTAAATACACTCTTTAATATTTTTATCTTTATTCAACATTGTGATGATTATTAATTAATTAATAAAGATGAAGATTAAGAATTTATAAGAATTTTATCATTTCAGTGTTTTTATTATTTTAATATGACACACTTACTAGAGATGAGTGAGTAAGTAGAAGTATAATTACAGACTATTATAGCTTTCTCTATGAGTGATCATATAAGATATGCATTTTTTCAATTATTATTATTATTATTATTCTTCAATTATAGATGTATGCAGTCAGAGACTATGACATCTACCTGAGAACTAAAAGTTCTCAGGGTTTTTCCTATATCTATAAAGTTAACTATTATACATTCATCAATTTCAGATATACAAAATCAGAAAATTCCAGCTCAGAATACAAAAACTGTTTATAAATTGCAGTATTTTAACATCTTCTGATACTTTGAAACCATTTAACAATATCATGACAAAAGAAAAGAGAACACAGTCTTAAAGATAGACACATTAAATAGATAGATAGAAAAGAATAGAAAGGAAAAAGTAAAGTAAAATAAAGAGAGACTGTAATGAAATAAATTATCAAAAGATAGTATATAGCTGTTTTAACAGACTATATCTGATCAATTTCCTTCTCTTCATATTCAGATATTTCTGAATTCAGTCATTTTCTTATAGCTGCTTGAGTTTCTGATAGAAAGTCTATTAAGTATTTAATTCCTGTCTCAGTTGAGAATAAGAATCTCATATTTAATTGATTTAGATCATACTTCTCTTTCAATCTGACTCTGAGACTATTGAATAATACACAGTGTATTACAATATGCTCAGAATTCTCATTTGCATTGCAGAATGAGCATTCTATTGAATCAAATCTATTATCAAATCTTTGTATATAAGATTTGAAATAGCTATGTTCTAGTTTCAGCTGTATTATAGATGAGAATATTTTCTTTTTACATTTAATTGAACAAGATTTTCACTTGGGTTTTGTTTCAAATCTTGAATAATGTATACTCTTCTTTTGTTTCTGCCAGCTTTCATTCTACTTATCTAAACAAGATTCTTTTATTTTTCTCTTTATAATCATTTTTTCAATTAATTATATCACAGAATGAGCATCTTCTATTCTAATCAGATTTTGAAATGTCTAATATATTACTTCACTTCACTCTGTAAATGAATACAAAATAATAACACTACAAGTGATAACTCTAGTTAAAAGCCTCTAACCGTGCCATGCTTACTCACTCTCTCTAGTGAGTGTATCACAGTGTACAGAAAACCACACTGTAAAGAAAATATTTTAAATATAGTAATCTTTAAAAATTAATTAATAATCATTATTATATCTATCTATAATATAAAGATTATCTATATACTCATTAGAAGGTGTAGAATTCACTGTAGATTGAGATTCTATAGAATTATCTTATTATAATTAAGTAACTATAGATTTTATAGATTTGATTTCAATTGACTGAAGATTTTTATTAAACATCTTTTTCATCTTATCTACTCTACAGATTGTAATCTTGTAATTGATATTAGACTGATTATCAGAATCATGAATTTCACATTTAATTCTATTTAATCTGATCTCATACATTTCTTGATATGAATTCTACTGAAACTAGTCATTAAAAAAACATGTAAAGTGATCATATATAAGATCTTAAAATAAAATCATGACTTGAAAAAAATGAGAAAGTGGTCTTATTTGATCTCATTTAGTCTCATTCTTGACATAAAGTTACTATTTTTAGACATTTTAAGGTTTTTTTTAGACTATTTTTAATTTTTTAAAAAGTAACACTTTTTAATAATACTCAAATGAGATTTAAAGTCATTTAAAGCAATAAAAATAATTTAAATTGAGAAGTGGAAATCATGATCTCATTTGAAAAATGTGACAAGAGTAGACAGTAAGTCTCACTGAGACAGTATGAGACTACTACCTAATGTTAAAACTGTGTAATGAGATCAGTTGAATTGATAATGAGACTATCAAAAAATCTGGTTCTGGTTCCAGACACGGTCACACGGTCAGTCTAATTGACATTCTTAATAGTGAGAACTTCATCTACTTGCATCTGCCTGCAGAAGAATTAGACAACCTGATGTCTATTTACTTGATAATGACCTGCAAGTTCACTCTTATGATGCATGTTCAATTTCACCTGAATCATACTACTCTTGAAGATCTTGTTCAACTGCCTTGTCAAATCAGGTGTAAGAGTATTCTTCACATCTTCTAAGATCTTGACTGCTGCATTGATAGTTTTACAACCATCTCTGAGAAGGTTAATTGTGAGAGAAGACAGTTGACAGTTGATCTGCAGATGACAGGGTAAAGTGATTGCATACATCATCATCACCATTGTATATGTTGAGATTCAGAGCATCATCAATGATAAGAGGTCTCAATCAATTGAGAATTATATCATGATTAACTGGATACATTTCACAGTCAGCAAAGCCAGCTCTCACAGTGCTAGGTTTGAATGCTTACAGTCAGACACTCTTCAGACTAGCAAGGAATTGTCTGTCATGATACTGCTCATATCTGTAGCAGACAGCCTCATTAATAATATTCAACTGATGAATCCATATCTTAATTGCCTCTTCCTGGCTGTCATTCAATGCTCAATTCAGTGAAACCCTCATAGTCCTTGATTTCTTCCTGTTAATCCTCCCATACAAGGTGATATATGGGACTTTGAATTCTCATGACAGAGATGTGATTTTTAATTTTGAATTACTTTTATATGTGTCAACAGCTCTTTACAACTGCTCCTCAGTGTAATTAGAAGATTTAGACATGATTATAATTAATGATGATTATTTGAAGATGAAGAATGAAGATATTGAAAATATTTTCTGTACAGTGTGGTTTTCTGTACGCTGTGGCGCACTCACTAGAGAGAGTGAGTAAGCATGGCACGGTTATCATTTAACTATATATATGTATATAACTAGATACGGAGAATATAATAACTATAGCTTCGCCCTATACGCACCTCCATTCCACAACTTCGACGGCGGACTGGTCCGCCCGCGGCCACGCGCCACAGAGTGAGCATAAGGATGGGTGGCCGAATCGGGAACGAGGTGGTCGATATCTCCTGTATTGACGAAGCCCGGATGTGTCTCTTCAAGCGATGTGATTCCTACGAGTCTCATCGCACCCTCTAGTTCGTCTTTCATGACTGTTTTGGGGAGCAGTCAGTATATGCGCACGGGGCATATAGAAATTAGAACATAAAAACGGCCAGTCCTGTAAGGACAGGAAAAACTTACTGTCAAACAAATGCTCCACCCCTTCCTGTCCGTAGTTTGCAGAGAACAGTACGCTCCTTCCCATCCCCACCGCCGTGGCGCCGAGACACACTGCTTTCAAGATATCTGTTCCCCGACGGATTCCACCATCTACGTAGATTTCCATCTTATCGAATATCTCAGGACAGCGCTTATGTAACTCAAGCAGGGTGACGAGGGCCGGCGGGCTGGTGTCCAAATTGCGGCCGCCGTGGTTACTCAGCAGAATCCCGTCCAGACCAGCCTTCATTGCCAGTATCGCATCATCAGCAGACATGACGCCCTTAAGCACAAGGGGAAGATGAGTGTGTTTGCGTGCCCAGATTAGATCTTCCCATGTTAGCGCCGGGTCAATGAATCCGGCCATGACACGGCCCAATCCACCACCTCTCGAGTCATTCTGCGCTCGCTGTGCAGACATGGGCACACTTAGATTTTCATCAGCACGAACCCTTTCGTCCGCCTCTCGCTTGCCAGGCCATGCAGCGTCGACTGTGATGAATATCGCCCGTATGCGTGGGTTATCTGAGCACTCTTTAAGATGTGCGGCGGACTTGGCGCGGTCCTTATTGACGTACAGCTGGAAGAAATAATTCGCCTTCGGCCCTGCGGCGGTTATATCTTTCATAGAATAGCTGGCGCTGTTGGAGATACCCTGCATGATGCCTCGGGTTTCGCATGCGCGGGCCACGGCCAGCTCACCATCCGGGTGAATGAGTTTCACCATGGCGGCGGGACTGACGAAGAGGGGCATGTTCACATCGCAGCCTAGTATTTTAGTCTTGGTATTGACTTCTTTCACATTGCGGAGGACACGGGGGCGTAACCAGGTGCGGTCGAAGAACGACTTGTTGGCATCGCGGGTGATAAGGTCGTTTGAGGCGCTGGAGTAGAAAGCCCATGTTTTTGCTGTGGCTGTCTTAGAGGCTACAATTTCGAAATCATGGGCGTTTATCAATGTGGTTAGAGCTGGTTTCTCATTGTCTGGCAGGTGATTCACGCTTTGTTCGGGAGGTTCTTTGAGCCATTCATCATCAATGGTGTTCCGGTCTAGAACACCCTTGAGTTTATCCCCGGGAAGACTGTTCTCAATGAGACTTGGGGGGTGAATCTCCGAATATGCCTTTGTTGCATCTCGTCCGGCATACTTGAGGATAACTATCAAAAGCCGTCAATATAACTCGCTGCACAGTAAATATAAAAAAAAAATTGGGGATCGCGGTGCGTACTGCTAGGCCCTCCAGGGTGCTCTTGAAGGAAGTCAGAGACGTCCCAAACTTGGTTATCAACAACGATCCAACAATCATTAGCTGCCTTATGTGCACCAACTTCCAGTGCGGAGATATGGGGTTTATTGTTAGACTTCGACATGATTGTACAAAATTTTGTTGTGTCAATTTTCTCTCTGCCAAAACCATAGGGAAGTCTGCCGTTTTTGACCGCACGAAATGAAGCGATCCTCTGAATCTCTGACGGCGGGGGAATCAATGAAAAAGAAATGAAAGAGCTGCTGCAATTGTCGGGTCACCAAGTGCGGAGTCGCGAATAGCCCACTACCCCTGAAGCGCGAATTTTCTTTCTGGTCTTTGTCTTGAATATCCAGTAGAGAGAGGCCTTTGTTTTTTTCAAGAGTATCAATGACGAGGCTTACTCAAATAAGATCGAACTTCGCTGATGGGCTGGGGATTTACGATGCAAGGAGATCATGCTCGATGACAGATGCCGAACGGGGATCGCCATACTATTCTGTGGGGATAGAACCCATGGCCCCCAGGCTTCGCGATGCCGAGCGGTAGCGTTGAGACAAGCAAAGACCCCACTTGTATGGTTCCGAGCGAATCGTGAGAAAGATATTGAAATTCCAGCCTCCTATTAGAGTCTGCGTTGAAGTGAAGCGATGGTCGGGTCGTGGAGGTAAAAAACGTTGAGCCAGATTTGGCCGACAATGACTGATTTCCACATCCCAGGGCTTTATATGCACTTCTTCCGGAAATACTATTTTCCTATTTCCCTTGCACTTTACTTTGGATTCAATATCAAAACCATTTGGAAACAAAATATCAACTCATTATTTGGAGATTTAGTGATCAAATGATACAGTCTCATTCGTTAAGGACTCTCTATGTCGGGTTAATTCGTGCTGGCAAACCCTTCCGTTATACACTACTTCCAAAAGCTAGAACGTATTCGGTGCTGAGTTGTAAGCTTACCCCTCGACAAGGTGAGTGAGATACTTGCCCTCTGCCTTCGATATAATTCTCACTTGCTTGTATCTCCATATATAGCACATCACAATTTATTGCTGCGGTATGACTCAATAAGGAACTGTGTAAACACGCCCACTCAGAATTATTTCCCGTCAAGGCGCAGTGAGGTTACTCTAGCCAGCATGGGAGAATCTATCAAACAGCTGCGATATGCCGACGTAGGTTCGCATCACATGTTCTTGTTTGCGTAGCTGAACTTCACAGGCGCACCCTGTCAAACTTCGCAAGAAGAATACCGCTAAATGTTTTTACGAAACAGGTTGCAATCAACCTTGGGGACCCAGTATTCACGGGTGTCTATCACGGAAAAAAGGTTCATGAAAATGACTTGGATGATATTATCCAGCGGGCACTGGATGTCGGCTGTCAAAAACTTATGGTCACAGGCTCTGACCTAGACGAGTCGAGACATGCTGTAGAAATGGCCAAAGCTCATCGTATGTATTCGCATACCTCCCTGTGAGGCTGTGACCAACTCTTCCCCCCAACCTTACACAAACCACAATGGCCATGATCGACCCGAATTTTCGCCTAACATTAATATAGCCGGTATCTGCTACGCCACCGTCGGCGTCCACCCCTGCCAGGCAAAACTATTCGACTCCTACCGAGAAGGCCCAGAGAAGATGTTAGAAGAGCTGCGGACACTCGCGCTCGAAGCCAAGGCATCTGGCCATGCCGCAGCATTCGGCGAGATAGGTCTTGACTATGACCGCCTTTTCTTCACGCCCAAGGACCAGCAATTAAAGTACTTCGAGGCACAGCTGGATCTTGCAGTCGAGATCCAACTGCCGCTATTCCTGCATTCGAGAGCTGCTAGCGAGGATTTCGAGCGGCTGCTCACCCCACGTCTGGCGAAGTTGCCTAAGGGTGGTTTGGTGCATAGCTTTACTGGTACTATGGAAGAGATGCAGCGGTTGGTGGCCTTGGGGTTGGATATTGGTGTGAACGGGTGTAGTCTTAAGACGGAGGAGAATTTGGAAGTTGTTAAAGCAATGCCCCTTGAACGGATACAGATTGAAACCGATGGGCCTTGGGTATGTATAACCTTTTATTTTTTATTTTTTATTTTTTTTCCTTTGGTTAACATTCGTTCCTTATTCAAATTTTACGCGACTTATATACCGAGTATACTTACTGCTTAACAGTGTGAAATCCGGCCCTCACATGCTTCCTATAAATATCTTGAGGGCGCCCCACCGTTACCGAAATCATTCAAAAAAGAGAGATGGCAAAAGGGCTGCATGGTAAAGGGTAGAAATGAGCCTATGGCCATCTACCAGGTTGCCCAAGTCCTTGCGAATTTGAAGGGCATATCTGTCGAAGAGGTTTGCGAAACGTAAGTTTTTTAACATATTTTTCCAAATTGCCCCGTTAATAGTTGGTTGTAAACATGTATGTATTCACATTTGTGCTAACCGGGGTGATGTCCTGCTCTGAGATAGTACTTGGCAAAATTCGATAAAAATGTTTGGTCTTGGAGAAAATAGGGCTTGAGCAAGCTCTTGCAAAGACCAGGCTGCCGCCACTTGCCTCTGAACAGTTATGAAAGTACAGTGCATACATACATACGAAATGGAAATAAAACGTGGGCCGTGAGTGAGCTGGATAGTGCACACATCGGATTTATTAGTTACATAGATTAGAAACACAATGAAGCAGAACTAGAGAAATTACGATTAAGGTAAGCGCCGCTGGGCATGGATGCTTAGGCGACTCGCACTCGCCACAACTACCATACGAAAAAAAAAGAAACGAAAAAGGAAAAAAGAAAAGAAAAGAGAAAAAGAAAAGAGAAAAAGAAAAGAGAAAAAGAAAAAACTAAAACAGAGCAAGAAACATAAAAGCTCCTGAGCAGCCCGCATCCATAGGTTTGTTTTTTAAAGAACCTCCAAAGAGGCTGTGCATTCTAGTTTTGCAATTGCAGTGGAAGCGATTCGATTACCGAGCTGGATATCTGCTTTTTGAGTTTATATTTAGCTCGCTTTCTACGGAGTACAAAAACTGCAAAGCAGATATGTATGTACATAGATATCTAATAATAATCCGACTTGTACAATTAATAATGAATCCATTCATTCCCCGCCATTATTCTCTCTCTCCCCGCGCGGTGGCACTCCCGAAACATGCTATCGCCACGTGACCCTCTCGGTTGCTGCGGAAGGTGTGGCGGCCGGGGCCGGAACAACCAGCTCCGGCACAGCTTGAGCTGTCTCGCCGCTCGCGTGCCAATTGTCCGCTGTTTCCACGAACGGCCTCAACTTCAACTTCAACTTCAACTTCGACTGAGACTTCACCCTCCGCCAATCCTCCCCGCTGCCATTCTCCCTTCTCTCCCTTCCCTCAGCCTTCCCTCAGCACCGTGCCCAAAGAGCAGCGTCTCTTCAAAACTCCACCCAAGCTCGCCATTGTCATTCAGATCTACCTCCTTACTATGGATCTGCAACGCACCCTCTATCAAAGTTCGTGTAATGTCTATGGATAGCCTACGACATTCCGCCTCGACGCTACCTACATAGGTAGTCCTCGTCCGCTTAACTCCGTACTTACTCCCGGTATCCTTCAATCATCTGTCAAGAAATCGCCCCCAAAACCTCTCTGTCTCGAATGCCGCCGCCCAGGTTCTAGGACATGTTTATCTAGCGGCTTCCTCTCAGAACTCCTTCGCGGGAGACGCCTTTTCCTCCTCTCCCCCCCCCCCAAAAAAAAAAAAAAAAAAAAAGAACAAGTGGGTTCCTAAGGTATTGTTTTTTCATTTTCCCTTGTATTT